GCCCAGTTACGAAAACGTGGTTTCGAGAAAAACGCGTTTAAAGTTTTACAACTAATTGGTTCATATAAAACGATAAAATTTTGTAACGAACCAAAGTGCGTCCAATCCGGGTGCATATGAAGTGCCTTCTGAAGCAATAGAACTCAAGCACGTAGACAACAAAAGAATACCGGTAAAACTCCCTACAGACAGATCAAGGGGACTGCCGAATCTTTTCAGGTAGCGCGCGGCCGGTTCTACTAGCGGCATCTGACCAAGTTCTACTCTATGACATATTTACTATAGTTCCGTTACGAATTTCACCATAATATTATAGGGACATATTTTTAAGACTCCAAACATCACAAAAATGCAAAAAAAAAAATCGATTTTTTGAAACCGTCACCGTGGTGTTCTCCCTTAATATCGCTAGATCAAATCCGTCCAGCATTTCATAATTGTATGTTTAACTTTATATACATATATTACGTTTATATTCACTATGATAAAATAGATTAAAAGCCTATTTAAAGCAATTTGTTTCAAAATTGCTTTATCAAAACGATACTCCACTCGTTGACATCTTTTGAAAACACTTACACTTGCCTACTTTTATCAATTCCTCATGCAAAATTAAATTCCAATAGCTTTTCTTTAATTTTTTATAATTGTGTCGTAGCTTTTTAGCTGTAGCTTTATATGTTAGACATTAATAAATGTCTTATACTTTCAATTGAGAACTTTACGGGCCGTGCACATCGTATTTAGATATTTATAATGATATTTGTATCACACAATAATTCACAATAACTATGTTTCATAGTTTGATAGTTTAATTTTTAAACATGTCGTTTGCATGTATTCAGAACTGACTTTAGATCTAATAACGCTTCTGTGCAATCTTTATAAGCGTTCCTCATTCATCAATAGTTGATCGAAAAAGAGAAATGTCCTTAATGTTGCATCCGTTTTCTATGTATGTTTAATGAGTATTTATCTTTCTTTTTTTTTTATTCTTACTTGTTGGCATCGACAAAACGCTGGGCGCCAGGTGTGTCTTCG